CTGAAGGCAGGCAAAGCATTATTCATTTTTGCGTCTCTCCCTGGTGTACCTCATGTAATGGACAGCCTCCCTCCCACCCAGTTTCCTTGAAATGTAATTAAAACACAGCACTGCGTAAGTTTAAGGTGTACAGCATAGTCACTTATATATATATTATGAAATGATTACCAAAGTAAGTTGTGTAAACATCCATCATCTCATATAGATACACATACCAAAAAAAGGAAAAAAAAATGCTTTTTCCTTGTGATGAAAATTCAGGATTTACTCCCTAAACAACTTCCAGATATCCCGTGCAGCAGTGTTAGGTATAGTCATCATGTACATTACATCACCAGCACTTAGTTATCTTGTAACTGGAAGTCTGTACATTTTGACCACCTTCATCCACTCCCCCCAGCCCCCAACTCTGGTAACCACAAGTCGGTCTCTTTTTCTATGTTTGTTTTTTGTTTTTAGATTCCACATGTGAGATCATATGGTATTTGTCTTACTCTGGCTGACTTACTTCACTTAACATAACGCCCTCAAGGCCCATCCATGTTGTCACAAATGGCAGGATTATGGCTGAATAATATTCCCTTGTGTGTACACACACACACACACACACACACACACACACACACACACACATATCTTACAGCTTCTTTATTCATCCAACATTGGGACAAAGATTGTCTTGGCTATTGTAAATAATGCTGCTATGAACACAGGGGTGCATATATCTCTCTGACATTGTGTTTTCATTTCCTTTGGATGTGTTCCCAGAAGTGGAATTGCTGGATCACATGGTAATTACAGTTTTTATTTTTTTGAGGAACCTCCATACTGTTCTCCATAGTAGCTGAACCAATTTACAATCCCACCAGCAGTGCACAAGGGCCCCCCTTTGTCTGCATCCTCTCCAGCATTTATTAGACCGTGGGCAATCTTGTCTTTTTTAAAGGATAGTCATTCTAACAGGTGTGAGGGGATAGCTCATTGTGGTTTGATTGGCATTTCTTTAATGATTAGTGATCTTGTGTATCTTTTCATGTGTTGTTGGCCATGTGTTTATCTTCTTTGGAGAAAGGCCTATTCAGGTCCTTGGCCCATTTTAATTAGATTACTTTTTTTTTTTTTTTTTGCTATTGAATTGTATGAGTTCTTTATATATTTGGGGTATTTAGTTCTTATCAGATATTTGATTTGCAAGTATTTTTCCCATTCTATAAGTTGTCCTTCCATTTTGTTGACCATTCCTTTGCTGTGCAGAGCTTTTTAAAAATGTATTTTATTTTTAAAAAATCTTTATCATTGAGATGGTCCCCTTCAATCCCCCCATTGCCCCCCTACCACAGGGTTCCAGCCCCGCCCCAGGCCTTCACCACTCTATTGTCTGCGTCCATAGGTAATGCATATATGCATATAGATCTTTGGTTAATCTCTTCCCATACCTCCTCACCCCTTCCCTCTGAGACTCGTCAATCTGTTCCATGTTTCCATGCCTCTGATTCTATTTTATTCATCAGTTTATTTTGTTCATTAGATTTCTTACTCGTTTATTTTGATTTTTAGATTCAACTGTTGATATGTATGTATTGCCATTTTATTCATATTTTTATCTTTTCTTCTTCTTTTTCTTCCTCTTCTTAAAGAATACCCTTCAACATTTGATGTAATACTGGTTTGGTGGTGATGAACTCCTTTAGCTTTTTCTTGTCTGTGAAGCACTTTATCTGACCTTCAATTCCAAATGATAGCTTTGCTGGGTAAAATAATCTTGATTGTAGATCCATCACATTAAATATTTCTTGCCACTCCTTTCTGGCCTGAAAAGTTTCTATTGAGAAATCAGCTGACAGTCATATGAGTGCTCCTTTCTAGGTAACTAACTGCTTTTCTCTTGCTGCTTTTAAGATTCTCTCTTGGGAGCTTTTTAGTTTGCTGCAGTCTACTTCTTTTGTTGCTTGCGCTTTAGGTGTCATATTCAAGAATCACTGTCAAGACCCATGTGACAATTTCCTATGTTTTCTTCTGGGAGTTTTATAGTGTCTGGTCTGACATTTAAGTCCTTAATCCATTTCGAATTAATTTTTGAGAGTAGTGTAAGGTAGGGATCTAGACTGGATGTTTTTAATAGATTTTAAAACTGAATATATGAATGGGTAAAGGGAGAAATGAGCCCTAGAGAGAACATTGAAAATAAGAGCTCAGTTTGCCAAGACAGACTCCTGGAAGACGCCCCAGTGGGTTCAAGTATCCGTCAAGGACAAGCAGAGAGGGCAAATGTGGACCCGGCCTGGGGACTAGAAGGCAGGGCACTTTGGAGGAGACAGTGGGCAATGGGCCTGCTTCATTTGTTCATTCAACAGATGTTGTGAGCCTCCTACTCTGGGGCAGCAGCGAACATGAGTCCCCTGCCCTCTGGGAGCTGAGATCCAAGGTGTCATGTGTGAGAGTGGCAGTGGCCCCTGGGAGAACCTGGACAGTGCATCCCCATGGTGGCATCGTCCAGCTAATGTGCTTACACCAGGAAAGGAATTGTGATAACAGTAGCAACCTTTTACAGGGAACCACCTGTATTAGTCAAGACCATTTCCGTCTTAATAGAAACTCAACTCAAAACAGCTTAAGCCAACTAAAAAGGACATTTTTGGTTTAAGTATTAATTTCTAAAAATACCAGGGGCTAACTGGCTTCTGGTACGACTGGGTCCAAGCGCTCCGAAGATATCATCAGGCCTCCGGGTCCACTCCATCTCCTGGCTCTGCTTTCTCCTGACTTCACTCTCCTGGCTTCCTTCTCCAACGGCCGCATGGTAGCTCCAGGCTAATGATCTCAGCGAAGAGGAAGCACCTCTTTCCTGATTGTTCCAGAAACTCTGGGGCGCTGTTAGAGGGACCGGTTCAACTTAGGTCTGATGCCCAGGCCTGAGCCAGCACTTGCAGTCAGTACTGGGATGTGCTGATTGGCCGGGGTCTGGCGGTAGGTGTGGGATAGGGCCCAGGGATGGGCGGGACAGGGACTGAGAACGAAGGAAGGTGGTGTCCAAAAGAGAGCAGGGCTGTCACTAGGCCGCTCGCAAGGCCCTACACCTATTATGCTCCAGGCACAACACTAAGTGTCTATGAGCCTCCCAGCAGTCCTATGTGATGAGGCCGTGTGGTCCCATGCACAGATGCAGAGGCTGGCTCAGAGAGGCCGAGTACCTGCCAGCGTTTGCATGCCCAGTAAGTGGAGGAGCATGGATTCCTTTGTACCAGACAGAGCAGATGCGGGGGAGGCCGCAGCCTCTGAACTACAGCAGGAGGTCAGAGACAATGTCACTGACTCGACCTAGTGAATGAAGGGGAGTGGTAAACGGGAACGAGCTGACGCATGAGGCGTCATCCTTGCCCCCTAGCCACTCCCCAAGCCCCACGGCAACGGCAATGACATCTATCCTCTCGTTCAACATTCGCTGAAGCAGGTGGTGCAGACCCAGCAGCCAGACTGCTTGGGTTCCCTGGAAAACAGAGCCTTTAGCAAGGGATTAAGTGCTGAGACTTTTAACGTGGAGGTGGAATTCCAGGGCAGCAAGTGAGGGAAAAGAGAGGGGAGGTGGAGAGGGATGGGAAGCAGCGCAAGATGACGTAGAACCATCCTGCTACTGCTTTACAACCAACCACATATGGAAAGTGTGCCTCAAAGGGCCCCAGGCTGGGAGAAGGAGTTCTTCCTCCCACCTCGGCTCCTACTGCTCAGAGTTCATCCAAGAACTGACTCCCTCCACTCTCTGGGCGGAGTTCTCCAGCCCCTTTGGCAGCTGTTCAGGAATCAGCCCCCTTATCCTGGGATGTGGTCTGGTCGGGGGGGTGGGGGGGGCGGCTCAGGCTCTGGGAAGGCAGCTGGTCAGCTTCGGGTGTGGATCTGTGAGGATCCCATGGAGTCTATCAACCATGGAGGCAGAGCAAACAGGAGTGTGATGGACAGGGGAGCTGAGAGAATCTTAGAGGGATGCAAGATGCGTGCTATACAGCCACCTTCTAGCTTCGTGCTGTGACTTTTCCATGCCCCAGTTACCCTCCCAGTGAGAGGGGAGTAACAGTCTGTCACCTGGGTTGTTGAGAGGACTGGAGGTAATGCATGCAAAGCGGTGAGTAGTGTCTGACCCCTAGGAGGTCAGCTGGACTGGAGGTCTTGATCTTACCTGGGTAGGACTTGGGGTGCTGTCCTGGCTAAGCTGTGTTAGCCTGGACTCTCCATTGCAAGCTGCCTCAGATGAAGGAAAGGATGTATTGGCTCACAAAACCGGAAGGCCTGCAGGTGGGGTCAGCACAGCTGGACCCAGGGGAGACTCAGTCCCAAGGGATGTGGCCCACGGTGAGGTCACTACATGAGCATCGGGAAAACACTGTCCTTGACCTCCAAGGGCTGACCTGAGCAGAGTGAAGACCAAGAAGACCCGGCTGGAGCACCTGGGAAATGAGAGGCTGGACTACATCGGGAATTATCAACTTCACATCCTCTGGACTTCTGGGATGGATCCATGATTTGTTGGTCCCAAGGGGAAAAACAAAAAAAGATCTTCATTTTTTGGCTGGATCTCAACTCCATGACTTCATCCGAGCTTGCTCACAGTGACTGTCAGCTCAGACACGTAGTTGGTCTTTACAAGTTTAAGAAAGACATTTGGGGAAGTGGATTGTGGCTTTATGAATGAAGTCTGTTTAGTAGATGTAATCCTTCAACTGTGGTATCCACACGGGAAAAACAACATCGGTTGAGGGGGATGAAAAGGTGAGGACTGTGGCTACAGCTCATCTTGACAGTCCATCCCATTGAACACCAGGATCCCAGGAGGCCCTTTATCAGGAACACCCAAACACCATGCGCCATTTCGCAAGCCACGGGGCCCATCGGCTGCGTGACCTTGGACAGGTCATTCTACCGCTCTGAACCTGCTTCTTCAACTATAAAATGAGACTGGTATCCAGACATAAAAATCAAAACACATACCCACACAACAGACTTGCACATGACTGTTATAACAGTTTTATTCACAGTAGCCAAAATCTGGAAATAGTCCAAATGGTCATCATCCCATAAATGGATAAACAAACTGTGGTACGTCCATACAATAGAACACTACAGTGGGGCCTTGACTTACGAGTGTCCCGACTAACGAGTTTTTTGAGATACCAGCTGTCTCTCCGCCGATTTTTTGCATTCCGTTGATAAAGTAATTTGAGTTAACGAGCTCCTTAACGAGCTCGGTCTCAGAACGAATTAAACTCGTAAGTCAAGGCCCCACTGTACTTGGCAACAAAAAGGAATGAACTATTGGTACACGCAACAACATGAATAAATCTCCAAAACATGTTGACTAAAAGAAGGCAGACACAGGAGAGAACACACTATGTGATATTTATATGGAATTCTAGAAAAGGCAAAAAGAACCTTTAGAAGATAGGTAGGTCGGTGGTTCTCTGGAGTTGGGAAAATGGGCCATAAAGGGGAAGGAGGGAACTTGAATGCTGGTGATAGTTACAAGGCTGTAACTACTTATGAATTGGACACTTAACATGGGTGAAATCTATCGCATGTAAAGTATGCCTCAAGGGTGACTTTCTAAAAATGAGAGCAAAGAAAACCATTGCCATTCTTAGGACCCTTTCTATGCCAGAAACCCAACTCCAGACAGTGTTCGGAGAAAACGGCATTGGTTCATATAATCAGGTTAGTCCAGGGCTGCAGTTGGCTTCAGGCATGGCTTGATCCAGGGGCTTACTGATGTCTGGATAGAATACACTCGCCTTCTCTTTGCTCCTTGTTGGCTTTATCCTCAAGCAGAGAACAGGATGGCCACCAGCAGTTCCAAGCTTGGCAACTCCCACAAAAACCGAATGCCTCTTTCCTCATAGTCACTGCAAAAGTCCCGAGGGGAAGTCTCAGCGTCCATCCTGGGACACGTGCCTGCCTCTCAAGCCAGGGGGTGGAACTGGCCCCACCTGAACACCAGGGGTACTTGGTGGAGGAGGGGTGATCCTCTGAAGGAAAAGACAGGTATTGTCAGAAGGGCCATGGATGCTGGCCAGCACCTCTCTCCACATCCCCGGGGCAATGTCATCAACTCTTCCTACCTCCAGGCGCCTCTGCAGTGGCCAGGTCGTCAGGGACAGGCCCCAGACTCATTCGAGGTCCTCCAAGGCTGCTTTTCTGTGATGTCACAGGGCTCTGCCTGTTAGATACAAGAGTCAAGACAGAAATCAAGTGCTAACCTCTTCCCCACCAGAAAGCCCTTCCCGCCTGTGCTGGGCTGTCTGCACCCTGAGGAGGTGGGCGGGTGGGAGGAGCTTTGTAGCAGCTACTCTGGCCCAGGCCCAGAGGGAATGCTTTGGAACTGAGCATCCGGACTTGTAGGATGAACTTGAGGAGGTACAGGATGCCTCTGTGGGCCAGAATGCAGGGCAAAGGGGTGAGGGCTCTAGCTTATCAATTTAGAACCACCATCCTGGGCAGGAAGGCCAAAGAGAAAGCTGACAAAAGGGGGTCCCTTCAGAGATCAAGGCCAATAAGGTACCACCCAGCACGCTGACACTCAAACCTCACTTCCTGAGCAGTGCACCTGGCGTTAAGTGAGCATCTTCCCCATGCCAGACCCCACCCAGAGTTCTCGGGTGAAGGGAAGGGAGTGACAACTTCATATCTATAGTCAGAATACGCCTACAGTGTAGCACCGTCCTACAGGCACTCTTGTGCCCAATGAGGCAACAGGCTCAAAGAGATGGGGCTTTACCCAGGGACCCTGCTAAGTGGCTGCCCTGGATCAGACTCCTGGCTAAGGCTTGTCTCCCCTGCCCTGCCCCAATTCCAGGAGCTCCAAGCTCGTGGCTCAGCCTGATTGCTCCAGGCTGCTAACTGAGCTGAGATTATTCCTGACCCAGGAAAGCCGAGGCGGTCCAGAACTCTCTCCCAATCCAGCCCCCAAGGAATACGGGCAAGAGAAGCCTGAGGGGGGCTCACCGCCCTGTTTTCCATCACGGGGCTGGCTGAGCAGGCCTGCCTGGCCATCCGGCTTTCTGGGAAGCAGGTTAAATGGGTGTCGTTGCCAAGAGTGTGCACTCTGCCGCAAAGAGCTGGGCGGGGAGCAGGGCGAGAGCCAGACGGAGGAAGGAGAGCGCCAAGGCCCAGCGAGGGAAGGTGTGGCCAAAGGAAGCCCGTGGGCCTGGCCCGGAGCCTGGGAAAGTGGTGTTCTGGGCTCCCACCTCCTGTCTCCACCCGCCATGTCCGAGGCAGGCTGGCCCTCCGGCCTGCAGCCCTGCCCGGGCACAGCCGACCGCTTCCTGGAGCTGACAATGAGCCTGCCCGATAGTTCCCTGCACTGGCATCCTGCCCAGCTGACCCTCAGGTCCTCGGAGTCCAGCTCTGTAGGAAAGAGAGGGGGGCAGGCACAGTAGGCCTATGGACCCCAGTAGGGGTCCTGATCCTTAAGGGCCCGGATGAGCAAGCCCCACGCAGGCTGTGCTCCTGAGATGCCTCTGTCCAGGCAGTGAGCAGGAAACCAGTGGGCCTCATGCCCCCTGCATGCTCTGAATATGGGGCAGTGGGGCGGGCTGCGGGTCCAGGCTGGCCAGTGCACGCAGCACTGGGGAAACTGAGGGACAACCCCCCAGTCTCCCTGTGAGGCAGACACACCCTCCAGGAGATAGTGGCACCCACCCACCTCCAGTATTTCATCATCACAGTAACCTATGGGCTAGTAAGCATTGATATGCTTGTTATAACTATATAAGCTAAATACAAATAACAGTTACTGACAGAGCACTGACCTTGGGAGTCAGGAGCCGCAGACCTCAACCCTACCTCTGCCACATCCTAGCTGTGTGTCCTCGGGCAAGTCTCCTGATCTCCTTGGCCTCTGTCTTCCTTCTGTAAAATGAGGATCAAAGGATGGCTCTGAGCAGCCGAGAAAAGACAGGAAGTGAAAGTCTGCCAACTGCAAATGGTCACATCGCCTGATCCGCCTCTGGGGGCACAGCTGGAGCAGCCTTCTCCTGCCTCTAACTTGTGGGCAGATAGTGGAGAGTGCTCTGGCTGCTTAACAGCATCAGCTGAGGACCATCTGGAAAACAAACACAGATGCCAACCCCCAACAATTCAGAGCCAATTGGTCAGGGGTGGGGCCCAGGCCGTGGAGTGTGTGTTTTTTAACACAGTGAGTCTCGGGTGACTAAGGTGGAGAAGCAATGCGACAGCCCCCATTTCTAGCATCCTCCTCAACAACTTCATCCATTTGGAGAGACCCAGTGCTGCTCCAACACCCTCCAACGAGGTGAGGTCTCTGAGCTCCCTGGCTGGAGGCACGCTTCAGCCCATGGTCCATCAGCCCACGTGGCAAAGAGAAAATAGAGACTTTCTGGCTCCCAAGGGCACAGAGCCATCACTCAAATGGGTGACGAGCCTCGCCCGTTTTAAAAGCCTCAGTCCTGCTAACTGGACGGGGGTGTACACGCACAGGGGAAAGTGCTGGAAGGATGTACTTCATTAGCAGACATTATGAGCCTTTTTCATCCTTTAGTATTTTTGAAATGTTCTTCCGCGCAAGGCAGTTCTTTTGTAACAGGGGGTGTGTTTTATTTTTGATGTATTGCCTTTTCAAAAATTGATACAGCGTCTTTTGCAAATGTTTTGGGGTAAAGACTGAGGAGCACGCTTAGGAACAAGGAGTTTTGGGGGAGATAGAAGGGCGGGACAATTAATTTGAAGTTAGCAAATGCTTAGCTGATGAGGATGGAACTCGGTGTATGACCCCGTGTCCACTGTAATCTGTGAGAAGTTCATTCCACGGAAGCTACACCTACCGCTTACCAGGGCAGGATATACACCTCCCACAGCCCCTTGATAACTTTACCTTGGAGCTGCCCCTCCCCTGGGGCAGTAAAATGAGGAGGATCCGGTGCAAATCCAGCTCCTTAGAAACTGTCTGGGAGAGCTGGTGTGGAGGCAGGCTCAGACGATCGGGCCCCGGGTAGCAAGGGGCCTGGCTGGCCAGGAATGAGGATCATGGCGGTCAAGGTTCCACATACGGTCTTCTTGAGTGATGAGAGCTTTCGAGTCAGCACCTGGGAGGGAACCTGAGAAATACCTGGAGGGTGACTCGCCCCTGCTGACCGGTAGGTCAACGGGACACAAGATGGGGCTTGTTGCCTGTTCACTGCCTCGTCTGTCCATCCACGGGCAGCCCACGGCTCAGCCTCAGCTAGACAGGAAGATTCTGTTGCTGTGGGATTTGGTGACTTTAAAAAAAATGTTTTTTATTGATTTTAGAGAAACATCGATTAGCTGCTTCCCGTATGCATCCAGACCAGGAACTGAACCTGCAACCTAGGTATGTGCCCTTGCCAGGAATCGAACCAGGGACTTTTTGGTGCATGGAACCACAACCAACCCAGCCACGGCAGCCAGGGTGGGTTGGTGACCTGATTGTGGACTGGTGTTCCTGGGTTGGGAGGGGGGGGGGGGGGGTGCGCATGTCACAAATGGATATTTTGGCTGCTTAACAATCCCCACTCAAGGCCTTGGCTTAACCGAAATATCTGTGGGGGTGGGGACAGAAGAGGTGGGGTTGGGGGCACCTACTGAGAATGGAGGAGATTCAGGAAGTGAAATAGGGAGAGAAAACACCCAGCAAGCTCCAGGGTCACCTGAGGGGAGAGGGGAGGGGAGGCTTGAACCCCCTGCAGGCGTGTTTGCAAACTGGCCAGCTCACGGGGTCTGAGGGAGGGAACTGAGGCTCTTTCTGCGTTAAGACACAGTGCCAGTTCCTGCCCACGGGGCACCCAGCCAGCCCAACACTGTGGCCCTCGACCTACCTGGCCCCAAGGCCGCCCTTCCTCGTGCCCTGCATGTGCAGCTGGGCCCTTCTGAACCTTCACCCGCACAAACCCAGGAGACTCTCCAATCCATGCAGGACTAGCTGGATGCCCAATCCCCCACCAAGCAATGGTCAAAACACATGCAAGGCAATGCATCGGCCCAACGAACGCGTTTTAACAATCAGCAAGTCTCAATTGGACCCCTGGAAGCCCTTCCCATCCCTCAGCGGCCAGGTGGGTGAGGGGTGGGTTGCCAGCCACTGCCCGATGCCCACTGCAAGAGCAATAAGGATTTTTAGGGGCATTATGACTTGAGTCAGAAAACACAGCTGCCCCTGAAAGTCCCTTATTTTTCTTGCTGTCCTTGACAACTCCAGGTGAGTTCGCAGTCGACTGGCTGGCAGGTGCGTGAAGATGGTGTCCCCTCACGTGACCCTGGCCCACCCCCCCACCGCTCAGGGGACGCTCTGCTGGGTAGGGGGCCGCGGGTCTCCACAGTGGCACAATTCTCCCCAATGCTTGGTCTGGCCAGTGGCTGGCCTCGCTGCCCCAGGGCACGCCCAGGAAGGACTCGTCTTTGCTCCACCCAGACAAGTCAGAACCTGGTGCCTTCTGCCCACAGGCAGCCGTGGACTAGAGTCTTGGCGGAATCGCAAGTGGACAAGGGCAGCCCAAGAACCAGAGGATGCGGTGCGACCAGGAGAAGGGTTGCCAGGCCCCGTCTTCCCCTGCAGAGACCCACCTCCTAAATGACAGTCCCGGGCCTGACGCTGGCGCACAACCAGAAGAGCTGGCGTTGACTTCTGCAGGCTCCAGGCCTGGTTCAGGTAGGAGAGAACCCTGGGACGTGCCCCGGAGACCAACCCCAGCCAGACACCAGCCGCTCCTCTCCCTAGACCAGCCGTGGGCAAACTACGGCCCGCGGGCCGGATCCGGCCGTTTGAAATGAATAAAACTAAAAAAAAAAAAAAAAAAGACCGTACCCTTTTATGTAATGATGTTTACTTTGAATTTATATTAGTTCACACAAACACTCCATCCATGCTTTTGTTCCGGCCCTCCGGTCCAGTTTAAGAACCCACTGTGGCCCTCGAGTCAAAAAGTTTGCCCACCCCTGCCCTAAACCCTCTTCAAACAAGAACTTAAAGACACAAGATTCTGAGAGGGACCGGCCCTGGCTCAGCTTCCCTCCAGCAGCCGTGGCCTCAGTTACCCGGTCTGTAAAATGGGCCCAGGAGGCCACTACTGTCTCTCCCATTTCAAAGAAAAAGCATAAGAGGAAGTGAGAGCATTTCAGCTCTGTCACACCCACTGTTCCTGAAAAGCTTACAGTCACGGACCCTCTGTCCCCGGTGAGAGGCAAGAGGCTGCAAAACTGGGAAACAGCACAGCCCTCCCTCTGCAGAAGGCAACAGCTTCCCAGGGGCCGTAGCCGGGAGTCAGACATTCCCCCTCCTCCACCAAAACAGCCTATGCTGAGCCAAGACTTCCGTGTGTCCCCACAGTTTCCAGGTTCAAATCAATGAGCTGGGAGGCGCAGGCTGGAAGACACTGGGGTACGGTGAGGGGATGGTCAGAGTGGCCAACAAGACAGGGAAGGGGCTGTGACTGATTGTGCTGCTTATGAGAGGCTGAAAGGGCTTCCGGAATCCACGCCTTATCTAGGGTCCTCCTCTAAGCCGTGCTCCCCTCTGCCCCCAGGTCCTCTGGGCAGCAGAAGCTCAATCCTAGCATCAGGGCCCCCGACAGGAGGCCAGTCCACAGAACCCAGGGCGCTGACTCCTCTGAACTCCACCACAAGGAATGCAACCACTCAGGTAACTAGTCCCCTGAAGCCAGGCCATTCTACCCAGAGCCCGGGTTGGGCTGGAGTCTGCCCAGCTGACCACCAGGAGCCTCCCCAACCAGACTGGCACCATACCCTTGGGGCCTGGTCATCGGTCCAGCTGTGTGGCAGGACCCGAGGCCACTCAGAACATGGCTGACCCCGCTATAGTGAAAAGCACAGTCCCCGAAGGACAGACCTGGCCTCCACCTGCTTATCAGCCTTCTCTCTGCCTTCACCCCTGAAAGTAGGACTAGATCAGCCCAGGTTGCAGGGGGATGTGAGAATTAAAGGGAAGAAGGATTCAAAGCTCTTAGCTGGCTCCTTAACGAGAGCGGATTCCCTCTCCCAGCATCTTCCCCATTCCCCATCAGACCCCAAGGGCTGGGCAGGGCTCTGGCCATGGAGAATTCTTCCCCCTGGCTGCTCCCTGAGCACGGCCTGCACCTTCACTCCACACCCCAGGTCCTGTCGTGTTCAGACTGCGAGGAAACACGCTGGGAACCCCAGCCACGGCCTCAGCCCTTTCAAAATGACATCACAGCAACTGTCACCTCACCCAAAGGTTCCTGCCCTAACCAAGGTCACGGCGATACACACCACCAGCAAACCCCAAGCTGTCCACACACACTAGGATCTGAGCCATTCAGCAGCAACACCCCCTCATGCTTTGCCTACTCCACAGCCCCGGGTCTGCACTGCCTCTGTGTGAGCTGGTGCCGTGGCCTGGGGCGCCCTGGCCCCAGTGCAGTGGGATGGAGTCAGAAGGTGAGACCCGGTTCACCACGTACCAGCCACAGAACCCTGGGCAAGCTGCCCCACCCCTCTGGGCTTCAGTCTGGTCCTTTCTGCGATCAGTGGGGTTGTTGGAGGATTAAATGAGTCCATTCCCATCAGAGGCTGAGAGCGTGCCTGGTACGAAGCATTTGATTGGGTAAGCTATCAAGACCATCCTCTGCTTTCTTCTTCAAGATTTACTCACCTCTTCTGGGTGCTTTTCTGGGCCCCTTCCGCCTCCCCCCCCCACCCCACTCATCCTCACACTGCTTTCCCTATCAGCCCGGAGGCAGCATGGTCCTGGGACCACCTGTATCACACACACTTATTAACAATGCCGATTCTAGAGCCCGAGGTTGGCTGGGGGCTAGGGAGTCTGCAGTCCTAACAGGTTCCTCAAGCGGTTCTCAGAGACACCCGAGTTTGAGAACCACTGCTCTGGGCCACCGTATGGCCGTGGTTCAGGCAGGGTCTGGCCTAGGTGCTCAGGAACAAGGTGAGGTCAGGAGGGCTGTTCCGGGCTATGGTCAGAGGCCCTCCCCTCCCCATGCCGTGCTGAGTGGATAAAGGTGACCACCTGGGCTTGGCTCTGACACAGAGTTAACCCGTCGCCAAACACACCAGCTCCTCGGGCCTTCCCGGAGCCCTTAGCTCTGCCCGGCTTCTGCCGAGCACATCGACGAGCAAGGCGCTGCCCCCTGCCGCTGGGGGCTGAAAAGCTCTCAGGATTTCCAGGGGCGGCTGCAGAGTGAGCAGGCTCCACTCTGAACACAGTTCAGACATCACCCTGATTGGGAACTTGCTCTAGAAAGGAAACTATGAGCCATTCCCACCCTGCCTGGGGAAGGAGGTGGTCGGGCAGAGGGCAGTAGTCCCAGCATAACTTGGGGAATCTCTCCGACAGAGAAGCCGCTGGGCACATACAAGGCTGCGGCTGGGGCTGGCTGTGAGGGTCTGGCCCCAGGGCCTGAAGAGCCAGGTCCGCTTCCAGTTAGGGGCCAACGTCCCTGGCACAGAGAGCTGGGTGGGGCTGGGCAGAGGGATGCTGGCACTCCCAGCACTCAGTTTAGGGGCCAGGGCTCTGCAGGGTCCCGCCCTAGGCCAGCCCACCATGGAGGTGGGAGCTAGAGGGCTCGGCTAAATCCGAAAGCTTTCTTGGACTCGCTGCCGATCAGACCCGGGGTGAACAAAGCCTGGAGACCTGAATCTCATCCATCAGAGCCCCTGAATTTACGATAAACAATCTCTCCACCAGAAATTCTTTGGCTAAGAACACCTTAAACCCTCACTCTCTAGCCCTGCTGGCGTGGTGCTGGCGGCCAGTATTCCTGGGGGTTGGCTCAGCCCCGAAAAGTCATCCGTGGGTGGGGGTCTGAGTGCCCCTCAGCAAGGCTGGATCGGCGCCCGAATGCATCTGTCCACACGAACACACGCTCCCGCTGCCGAGGCCAGCGCCTTCCCTGGCCCACATTTCCAGACTGTCCAGGAGCCTGAGCCAGGGGGGAGTGCTCAGGCTGCAACCTCTACCGCCACTGAGGGGGCCGGGGGGAGGCAGACAGACAGCAGGACTAACATATGGGGAAGAAAAGAGTCTATTGTTAAGGACACATTTATCCTTCTCCCAAGGAGTCAGCACACTGTGGACCCAAACCAGGCCCTCCGCCTGTTTTTATAAAGTTTTATTAAAACACAAGGGTACTCATTGATGTATTATCTATGGCTGCTTTCACGCCACAATAGCAGAGCGGACGAGTTGCAACAGAGATCCCGTGGGCCTCAAAGCCTAAACTATTTAAAGTTTGGCCCTTAACGAATCATGTTTGCTGACCCCTTGCTCTGACCTGTACAGCATTCACCTAGCATGCGGTGGGCACTGAGATGAGTGAGACGGGCTGAGCCTTCATGGAGTTCAAGGCCTGGTGGGGGCAGGGCTCCCAGGGCCACCGCTCAGCTGGCCCCTCATTCAGCCACAGGCTGCTCCTAAAGCAGAAGGAGCAAAGCCCTGGCCAGCTGCAAGTCTGCCCCCAGCTCTGGCACAGAGCTGCTCTCTGTTACCCCTAACCTTCCAGAATCTTCCAGGTTTTAGAAAGCAGTGTGGTACATACACCACACATTATACAACACGCACCCATAATCAAACGCATTCCTGTCTGCAGCGAAACCCATGGATATTCACACTCGCCGAGATAAATACAGACTGTACTACGCGGAGTCTCAAGTCAGTTCGGGTCAGGTTTCCCCACAAAATTCGTTTCCAAATGACCTTTGGTTTTCATAGTTTCTTGGAGTTCAGAGTTTCGGAGAAAGGACTGTGGGTCAGTACTGCAGTTACAAGTGTGAACGCCGGGTCTGGACTCTGTTCCTTGGTCTCGGCTGGACATCCCCACCCCTGCAGACAGCCACCCCCCCACACACACAAGGCACACAGAAAATACCAACGGGATGAACTCACGTCCCCAGAATTTCTTCTCCAAAGAACAGCTACTACCATTCTTACTGAAAAAATGTAGCAAGACATCTACCTGCCTGCTCCACTGTCAGGGGCAGAGAAGAGCCAACATAAGTCATTTTTCCAACTCCATTTACTCGGGACGAGGACAATGAAGACATATTCTGGTCGCTGCTGCTGCCGGGCGGGCAGGCACATCGGTGTTTTGGGGGAGCAGGTGAGTGGGTGGTAGCCAAAACGGAAAACCCTTAATTTTCCTCAGAGCCTCCTTGTTGTCAAAGTTCCATTTGGAAATCTAAAATAATTTATCTCATTGCAAATTTCTGACAGCTAATTAGAAAAATGTACCAATTGTATAATCTGGTTTCATATGTGGCAATTACACTCCTTTGGGTGAAAAAAACAAAAAATATTTTATATATACATGTATATATACATATATATAATTTAATGGCACGTCTTCCAAAGAGTGTAAAACACCCAGTAGGGTGAGGGTCTGTGCTGGGGGCGCAGGAGAGGGCTGGCGGGGGGGGGGGGGGGGGAGGGAGGAGACATATGTAATGTAATACTTTCGACAATAAAGGTTTCATCTGAAACTAATATATCAAATGTCAATTGTAATGGGAAATATAGAAGTTAAAAAAATCACCTCAAAGTTTAAGATAGTCATACTGAAAAACTACCTTAATACACACCATCCTATAAAATGGAACCACCTCCTATAAAATGCAGCTCTTCTGCACTAAAGGATGATCTCCGAAAAGATAGTTCAGGAACAAACCCCATCAGACACCCCGGAATTAAATGGGTTCCCCCCTTTCTAATGCACCGTGTCTTTAGCATTCTGAAATGTCCTACCCTCGGTTTCGTAATAGGGCACTCCTACGAATGACTCCCGGAAATCTCCTCAGTGCGATTTCTACACCCC